TCTGCCCCTGTTCATGGAGGAATTCCATGAGCGAAGGCGCTCGCAGAACGTTTTTCCCATTGAAAACATTCCGGACCGAGTTTAACGAATTTCACGCACCTTGAGAGACACACTGATTGCGACTATGTACGGGCTCGGATCCAGGGCCCCGAATTCCTGATTCGCCATGCATACAAAATTCACCGCTTAGCGAATTCACTCGAAAATGCGATCCGTCCGCGCCGAAAATCCCCCATCTGAGTTGAGGTACTCACGCACTTCACTCGCATTTGCTGGATGAGACGGCCTATCTCCAGAGAGATCGCGGCAGGTATCCACCGCAGAATCGGGTCGGAAGATCCGCATCTCATGAAAATCTGTCGGAAGGTTAGCTACTCGACCCCGAGCGGCTCCGGACCGTACCCAGCAAGCGCTGCCACCATCGAGAGGAGAATGGCTCCGACAGCACGGAAACGTCGAAAACTCACTCAAAAACGCGATCGTAGAGTCGATTTCGCAGCCATTTTGTACCAAATCGAGAGACCTCCGGGACACATCAGCAGCATTATTATCACTGTTATTACAGTCCATTGATGCCATTGACAATAGATATTGAAATTCCTGTCTCGGGAGGGGTTGCAGGAAAGAGAATGCGCGGAAGGGACTCTTCCTACCAGACCAGCGAGGGGAATTCGCTTCCGATAGAAAATTAGAAAAAGAGACCATGCCGTTGCCCAGTGACAGAACACTACGACCGAGTTTCCGATTTTTCACCAACCGGCTCGCGTTCGCCGCGGCCATAGGGAGTGTACTGCGCGAGTCCGTTTTTTTCTTCTCAAGAACGCGCAGGATTTCAAACGAGTTGTGTCAGCTCGCATCACTCAAATGGAGAGTCTCCGAATTTCCAGGATACTGCGCCTCTATAATAATAATTTTGACCCTTGTAGAGACGGACGTCTCTTCGAGTGCTACAGTGCCTCCACTCGAAACTTTGGCGGGGTTTCTCGCAACGGAACGACTGAAACAGCTGACACATGGGTGCAGATGATTCCGAAGCCCTACGGCTCCATTCGGCCCGATGCGATGGAAGGAACTCCATTCGGCCCGAGTCGTTTCCCTGGTCGTCATCAGAATAGAGAAATATCGCTCGAAAATTCCACGTCCAATCCTTTCCGATAGCAGAATGGCAGGGACATACAGGGGTTTGTTTTCTTCTCTCGGCGGAGATTCTTGTCACATTCTCAAAGGCTTTTTACTCGCTCGGTTGACTCCCGCGACTGTTTCCCCTCTCGCCGGCTTGCCACTTCCCTCTCTGTCTCTCCCACCTCTGACGGAGATGGGTAGGAGTCTTCACTCACTCAGTCTTGGCTCTAATCAACCACCTGAGGCGGTGGTGGGAGCGGCGACGTTCATGAAACTGAAGCACTTGTTCCTTTATAACCCGACCCACTGGTTCTACCCATTCATCCCAGCCGCGCGCGCAAGTCATCGACCCACCCACCTACGAGGACTGAGTGAAGCCGAGTTAAGTTCTCCTGCTCGCGGAGCTAGCCTCGTATACAGCCATTCACTAGTGATCCGCGAGCAGACTCAACAACCGACTAACGGCGGAAACTCCATCTGCACACCCGGTCAGTTGACACAGCTCATGCGATTCTGCTCCGAGTGCTCCGTTAACTTGCACCGAAGTCGGGGAAACGATTCACGGAAACCGCGGAACTTGGTATCGCAGGGAGAGCGCGTTCAAGCGAGCAGCAATTAGTCGCTGCGTCGCACAGCTGGGGACGGAAGTTTCCGAAAGTATAAGGAGAGGATAAACCATAGACATTCAGACCTGGTCTGATAATATTCACGGGAAAAACGTGACAATTATCAAGACGAGTCTTGCTCGAGACGCTTTGACAGATGATTCTATCGAGTAACCTTCCAAATGGGTAGAGATGATACACTCCTAGCGAAGAGCGGTCGATCACCAGGTCACCCTCCAATTCCTGAGCGAAGATGCGCTCCATCCGGCGACTCCCTCCGTGAGGAGCCCCCGGTACTCTAAGATTTCCGCTACCAGGAGCGATGCTGCTCGAGCCTTCCGGTGGGGTCTCCCTCAGGTTCTCCGTACAGATTGTCGATGGGGCCCCTCTCGAGGCTTCCGTGAGGTCCTCCGTCGAAGAGCTGGAGTTCGCGGGGTAAATACTCGAATCACGCTTTCGGCTCTCGCGGGCGAGAGAATCGATTTTGCGTTACGGCCCGCAGAATTTCCAGCCGTCTGATCGTTGTTTGCTTCGAACATGTCTAGCCTGCACGCAGATTATTCGCGACTCTAGTTGTGTCGCGGGAAAGTTTTCGAGCTCCTCCATAGGTCGGGAATATCGTAAAGCAGTGTTGACGGCTATCATCAATCAAGATACTATTCCCTACTCTGGAGTGGAGATAGAAAAGAACGAGATATAAAAACGCGCCATTTCATTGCCTCGGAGGTTGCCACCTGCCGTTTTCCTCTTGCATCGCTAGCAGGCACTGGCTGCGATGGCAGAGCTCGCGCGCGTCGTCCACGATCGATGACCGAACTCATGGCGTTCGCTCGTGCAGACGGCAGCGATCCTGTCTCCCTTAGATGCTCCCGATACGTTACGCTGTTCCAGGAAGACATTACATCGCTGAGGTCAACGTTCAAGCATCGATGGATCGATCGAGCCGCTCTTACATACGCCACATTGGCCCGACGACCGAAGAGGCTGAACGTCTGTCTGGGTCTCTTACCCCGTCAGCAATCTGGGGACCCTCCGGTTCGAGTCCGACCTGGAGGGTCGAGAGCGGAGAACATCCACGCGATTCGCTCCGTCCTGATGGCGGGAGCGCAACAGGCAGAGGTTACGATATGTTCCCGGACGTCGCCAGAGCGAGGGGACTCCTCTCGCGGCAAGGATGACCTTTTCCAGAATCGAATCATCATATTTATAATCTCTAAGCCGGGCCCTCTGGCGCAGGGGACCGTCCATCCAAGTCTGTTCCTGAAGAATCCAATCATTCCTCGTGGAGATCCCCGCGGAGAGTCATTCGTTCCGTCAATGAAAACCTGCCGATACGCTCATGCCTATCGGAACATATCATGGCTTGCCGCAAATCATCGGGGTCATGATCCGGTCGCTGAGCTATACCGGTCACTACGGGATGCGCTGAATCAAAATCCATCCGGTGACGTATATCCGTAGCTGGCAAACATTCCTTTCAGGCTCGCTCCGAAGGTAAGTTACGTCGAAACAAATCAGCTTCGACTTCGGAACTCCGCTCTCAGTCAGTCAGTCAGTCGGTCATTCACAGAGTATTGAGTCCACCGCCTAAACCGGCTTTGACGAGATAGGGAATATTTTTCGGAATTAGTCAACTCCGACCCGCTCGCCTCGGGCGGCACATTCTGAATGGGAAATTTCATGATCCATTCCCCGCTAGGCCAGTTGTGAGCCGTCCCGATGACGCGGTTCATTTCTCAACATTGGTCTTTGATGAAAAATGCACCCAGCACTCAATGCTAGCAACGGCCCGTCCCGATGGCCTCGAAAGGAGCGGAAAGTAAAGGTTTCGATCTAGGATGCTGCGGAAAGTGCGAGACCGTCTGATCCATATGAAATCGCATGATACGAAACAGCGCCCGTCACCGCGTCGTATTCAAGACTCACAAAACTCCATGCGATGAGTCAGCTCCTGGCCACAAGCACTACCGGACTCGGAGATTAGGAACGCCCCCTAATCTGAGAGCGAAGATGCAGCCGACGACTATTCGCGTTCAGGGAACGACCTGCAAGTATTTCGTCCTCGCTCTCAGTGCCGATGTGTGAATCCCTTCCCGACAGCCGCTGTTGGCCAAGACGAGCTTAATCAAATATTTAAGGCTACATATACTACGGGCGGCTCAGCCAGCCAGTCAGTGAAACCTCGCTGGCATCTCTTATGCATGCCGAGGAATGCTCTGTCATTACCAACGCCCGAGGGACTAGCTGGAACTAGGAGAAGAGTAGTTTCCGAGAGTGAAGTGATCAGAGACAGCTCCGACCGATCGGAATGCAAACCGTCTGTCAAAGCCTTTGGTAATTATATTCTCGGCTCAGAAAACGAAAAGGATCGGCGACTGTCAAAAACCCGCGCTCGCGAAAGAGAGTCGATCGTTACCGGGATTGCGATCTTGGTGGCTCGGAAATATCGACGAATTTCCCTACGGCTAGGCTGTCACTCCTAGACGGCGAACGCGATCGGAAACGGAGCTGAAAGAGCTTCGCATTCAGGCTCTCGACAAATTCTCTTGCGTGTCGCCCCGAAGAACAATCGAGGAAGTTCCGCTCGTATTCGCTCCGCAAAATCTGAATTTCTGTGAGGATGGCAATCCGAAAGCGGAGTCGTGATATTGAGCGACTGATTATCGAGACACGAGAGAGAGTTTTTCCGCGAATCACGGCGAGCTCGTCTGCGGAGGCCGTACTCCAGACGAGTCGTGTACCGCAAAAGCATTCAGAGAGAAAAAAACGCTATTAATCAATGCTATCGGGCGGGCGCTCTTCGTTACGCGTACGTACTCCTCATTGTCCAACACATCGCGAAAGAGCTGGCGCAACAAACTTTGTTCCTGATAGATAAACACGAGCTGGGGGAGCGCGAGCGATTTTGCAAGATGCTGCCAGAAAAGTGATGTTTCCAGATTTCGGTTGGCGGAGCGAATCATGAGCGAGGGAAAAGTTTCGCAGTATTGACTCTAGGGCCAGAGTATCTCGCCGAGCTGCGAGATCGATCGAAGACTCATTATGCAGCGGTTAGCCTGCGGCGCGGCGGGACGAATGATGTGAAAAAACTGTCCGCACGTACGATTATCGTCCTCAAAATTCGGGAATACCGCGGGTTCAGACTTATTCAATGATTTAAAGGAGCGAAGGAGGAGGTGCTAGCTCGGCATCCTTGAGGGAGTTTGTTTCAGAGACGATATCCCGATGGACTCTAACTCCAGGACTTGAGGGAACCACGACTGACTTGAGAACTCACGGACAATGCCTCGCGTGCTCGTTGAGAAGGTCCAGATAGTCCGGCCGGAGGTACAAAGGGTGCGCAGAATTGTACAGGCTGTTCGGCTGAGTCGATGGCGATCCGCGCTCGATTCCGGGCGATGGGGCGAGCCTGGAAAGATATTCAGAGCATCAGCTCCCGTGAGCTTCGCACCTCCATCACCCTCAGCAGCATGATCGGCTGAGCATGAGGATATGGATGAGGGGCTTACCCGGGAATCCGGTTTCCCAGAGCTGCTTCATGACTCATTGACAGCTCGACGGTTGAGGCGTCGCTATCCCGACTCGCATTTGCCTCCGAAAGTGAGTATTCTTGTGCACTGGAATCGCAGATAAGAGCCTCTTCATTCGTAGATCTGAATCGGGTGATCAGGTGACACAATATATTTCAAATTCAGGGACAGCTTTTGCGCCTCGTCTTGAGGATGAAATGAGACAATTTCGAGGGCATAGGAGCGATCCTCTCTTTTTCGAGATCCAGAGAATCTCAGGAGACATGATCAGGAAGATCTGTCGACTAGACGCGGGACAAAGACAACACGACGTGCTCATGCTGTGCCAGTACTCTCAGGTGGAAGAAAATCCGGTCAAGTTATGAGTGATGAGAATGAGTAAGTATCCGAATACCTTTATTTCCGACTAGCGCGTACTACCCGTGCTTCGCTACGGGATCATGAAAAGAACGACGCGGATATCGTCTCGAGAGTACGGAACTTCACGTATGTGGACTTAATTTGAGATCGACATGGCTATAAAATAGCTCTGTCACGGCAGTGAAATGTGTGAGATACAGCATATGTACGGAATATGTACAGAATATGTAAAGAATATGAATGAATATGTACAGAATATGAATGCAGAATATGTGTGGCTCTGCAAGATTATCTTAGGAAATGACCAGAAACCAAGAACAGGCACAACTCGAGGTTAATATATTATAGCTTATTCGGTGTGACCGGGAAAGGAGAAAAAGGATTCAATCTTTGGGTCTGAATTACCCTGACGCCTGGTTCGTTGGAGATTAGTCGACATGAGCGACGTGAAGCTTGAAATCCATCAGCTTCTTGGAAAAAACATGTTCCGTTTCCACCTCCCTCGCAGAGAAACGAGCGGCTCTCGTTGTCAGAAGCACCTAGACCTAGAGTGCGGGTAGATCTGGAGAGCGCACGAAAAATTGGAGAGCCAAATTCGTAATTCGAAGAAGCCTGTCGGAATATACTATTGAACTATCGGAGTTCGGGAAGAAACTTCATTGTTTGGAGGGCCAGGACAACAATCACGTACGTAATGTAGTTATCGAGACAGAGCGTTGGTCCGAGACCGGTCCAACGACATGCGGCGGCGAGCAACGGATGTATTAAGGAAGTGTCTTCTGGATCAGTCGCGTATGGGCAAATCCAACCGCGTTCACAGGGGAGATGCGCCTTATCAATAATTAATTATCGATTATTCAAATAATGATAATTAAATAATCAATAAGTAATTTTTTAATGTATAGATGAATAAACGAATAAATAAACATAAATACATAATAATGGGCGCGAGCCTCCTGAGCTAATAATATATGAATAAATGAAAGGATGAATAAAAATAAATAAATGAAAGAAAGAAAATAAGAAAGTAGAAGACGGATAGATAGAAGATAATACCCGCCGACAGTTAATATTCCAAATCGTGTGGATCACGGAACGGAGTCCTCCGACTGCCATTTGCCCGAATCTTGAAAGTCGATCTCTGCTCGGGAATAAGATGGGGATATATTCGCGGGCCGTATTGCCACGGAAAATTCGAACCCGAAGTTTCGGCCCTCTCGAACAGCGGCTCGGTAGGGGAACTAAAGTTGAGGAAGTTCGAGTCTGATCGACTGCTAGTGACAACATCTGGTGGCGCTCGGGAGCGTAGAGCGTGCTTATTCCTCATGCATAGATCTCGCGAGCAATCAACTAAGCGACTTGGAAGCTGCGCGGACCAAGCAAGCAAACGGTAGCCGCGACTCAAACTAATTACTGCTATTACCCACTTCACCGTGTCTTTGGGGCATTGCTCACCGCTTCAAAGTCGACCCTCTCGCCTGCCCCACGCAACCTCACTCGACCCATGTCCCTGTCATTTCTCAATGTGGCAACCTCACTGGGCTCCCCAGCTGAGGGAGCAAACTGATTCGGTTGGCTCCAGTGTGTTACCCTTGTTAGCCATGAAATAGCCGGGGCGGCCCGATGTGAGTTCTCCGCGCAGCGGAAACTTCCCCCGAGGACCTGCTACACGAGTAGACGACGAAGTACGAGCAGGGCCGAAAAAAGAAACAAAGACACTGTGAGACCACGAACACCTCGGAGATTGCAGACAACCCGGGGGAAGTAGCTGGGAGAGAAGACTGAATTGCGTGCGCGAGACTCCGAGCACGTCTCAAAGGCAACAGGCTGCTGACGGCCTCCGTACGGAGCATCTCATCGTAGAGTCCGATTCGATGAGGATAACGTTCAAGGGACCTTTTTCATGATGAGGAAATCGATCCCCATCTTTCTTCGGCTCCCACCCGTCCGGCATCAGCGAGAATCCTCTCGGGAGGTGGTGGGAGCTTCTTGTCCGGAACATGCGTACTGAGTGAGAGAATCGAGATCGGCGTCAGAGTGAACAGCTGGTGAATCCTCTCTGCTCTCGTTACAGCGAGGACTGGAAATGAGACATTCGAGTGCGGTGTGACTCAGAATCTTATTTCTGTCCACGATATCAAGCACCGAAAAACTTATATCTATGTAGAGCGAAACCACCTCTCGGCGGTTGAGCTCGCGGAACTTATTACCGAAAAGAGGAGCTCGAAGGGCGTACGGAAGAGCCACGATCTAATTATTCCATATATGCGCGACGTTAGCGACAGCCTGGAGATCCGGCGAGAAATTGCGCTCGGTGAACCCACGTTTGTCTCCAAGTTGGTCAGAGCTTTGCGGAGGAAGTGACGTCAGTCTTCGCGAGGCGGTCCGAGTGGGGCCTTTTCGCAAGAGTACGTTTGGGCGAAGCTTCAGACGACTAGCTGGCAGAAGGATAGCTCGCCCGCGTACTATGTGAGCTACGCACGAGAAGTTCGTACTTACTATGCGTGGTCGTATGTAGCTCGTTCCGTGGCAGCCACCGTTTCTGCATGCTAATCCCATCTGCATAAGAAGCTCCCATTCGTCACGTAATTTCCATTCAGCGTTTTCTCGTGTGGCCAATCAAAGGAGCTTCATTGCGGTAATGATTAGAGTGGGGAATGCGCACCACGGGAGCGCACGGTGGTGGCGACGGCGGCAGCAGCAGCATCAAGTTCCGAGTCTAAAAACTCATTTTGAATAAACAGCGCTTTTTTTAAGACCAGCTCCGAGGTAGACAAACGGCCCTGCAATTCCGTCCTGCCTGAGAGCCGACGGGTCCGGGACTGAGCACCGTTTCCCCGCTTCCCCATCCTCTATTCCAGCCAGCTTTGCGGGACTCAATTTCTCGCTCCGGAGCGACAGTGTGTGGATCGTCTCCGCGGTCGCAGCTGAGACACAGAATCGATTCCTACCCCAGTGCCACGATTTTTTCCCAGGGCTAAATTCGTTTCCACAGCTCTCCTCACCGATCTCGAGTCGGCGGTAGTTACGCGTTTGTTGCTCCACAATGATCGGATCTCCACAAGCTCACAACGAGCGTCTACTACTCGGTGGACCGGGCTAAAACATGGTGCTTCTTGATTTATGGACCATTTGTTCGCTTACTCAATCGTGTACCGATAGCAACTTTCGGTCGAGTCTGCCGGGCTTGCCTGATGAACTACAATGTGGGCGGTGGTCGTCGCGTCGTCTACGCTGGTTTGAGGGAGCGGACGCCGAGGCTATGATGGACGTAGTTTGCGCTCAAAAGCTCTCACCGGAAAATTGCTCCGTCTTTACACTGACGGCATCAGACGGCCAGCGGCGAAGAATGCCAATACATGACGTCTAATTAATCTCGTTTCGGTTTTCTCTTTCTCCTCAATCAATCTATCAATCATCCGAGAAAGAACAAAACATGGCAGCAGACCCTGACCCGTGCGGCACTAGGCCTACCAACGTCCTCGAAGTCTTCGTCGTCCGATGCTCAGGATTCAAATACTTTTCCTGATGTCTCGCTATCCTTCCGACCCAGTCTCCATCCGGGTGCAGATCCGCGATGTGGGCGATGATGATTCGGGCTTCGAGGAATCTTTTTCCACCATCATGACGGGAGTGCTGGTTTCTCCTTTTCGGAAATCTTGAAAGATTCGAATTTCCGGATTGCTTGATGGAGACGGATCTCATATAAACTTCTTCGAGGAAATTCATCACTTCTTGTGCGCATACAGCCGCTCCGTGCCGACTCACGCAGTCGGTGGTATTCTCTTTCCTCGAGGATGAGATATTGATGCAATTTAGAGCAGAGATGTCGCTATCAGGCTCGAAGAGCAAACCTCGCCTCGGAGTGGCGATGGCAACTCCTTCGTGGAAAATTTCTGCTAGTCTCGCTGTGCTCCGAGCACGCAATCCGAGCTTATTCGAAGTCACTGCTGAAGGACAGAGTCGTTCGAGATTCTCCATTCTGAGCGAAAAAAAAACTTTGTGGCCATTCGAGGGTTACGCACTTTGAGGCGCTCGTCCGACCGCCACATCAGACCGCCAAGGGAACGACCGAGCACGCGAGTGAGGAGTCCAACCCTGTAACTTTGTCTCGGGCCAGCGGGGCTCTGAGCCGAAGGGGTGAATCGGGAGTGTGAAGTGCAAAAGCACAAGAATAGGGCGAGGGATAAAGAGGAAAAACCCATTTAGCAAGCACGCGCTCTTTATTTAAGCTTCCACGGTGTCCAATGTTTTACGCGCAAGAGGGAGAGATACGAGCAGACCTTTTCCCGATCCTCGTCCCCTGATTCTTCCCGCAGAGTAGACGACTGGGCCCATTTACATCTTCTTCACAGTGAATCAAGAAGGGAGGGCTTTGAACACGCCATATACTAATAAACGAATGATCACGCCCCCCTTGCCGACAGCTTTCTTCTGGAGAGATGAGATGCATCCTGAGTCCTTCCGGACGCTTTATATGGTAGCTGTATGAGTTGAGTAAAAAAAAAACAACTCAATCTTACGCATTCCCTTTTTTCCCGTGCACGAGCCTGTGAAACAGACTCAGTGTATACATCTCAGTCAGAGTCACACATGAAGAAAGAAATGAAGAGGATTTGTCAAGAGCGAAACGCTCGCTCCATGATCCAGGCTTTCTGGCCCAGCGCTGGCAAGATAACTATGGCAGTAGATCCTCCCGGCTTGGCAAGGATCAAAATGATTGCAGAATATTTTTTTCGCCGCTTCGCTGTCACCTTTTTTTCAATAGCCAGCTCGGCGCAACTCGAGACGAAAGAGCCAAAACCCGCCTATGACTAGTGCAGAGAGCTAGAACCAGGTTCGGGGGCGGTCGCGAACCTGCGACCGCTGCAATGACCACCCACGGAGCTTGTCTAGAGAGGTCAGCGAGCAGAAACTTCACGTGACGCTTAGCGGGACTATTGCGTGATCCCCTCCGGCTGAAGTAGAAACATGGGTTCGGATAAGCTGGGTGATAAGCTCACGTCATTGAGCTCACACCGCGAAACGTTTCAGAATGGGTCGCTAATTGAGTTCACTCATTGCACATCGGCTCGCGTGGAACTCCGCGGGCAGCGGGGCTCGGTCGACGCTCCATGCGTCCATCTGTCTGGAGTTGGTCGCTCGTAAGCGAGAAGCCACGCCACAACGAGCACATGAACTCGCGTCACGTCACCTAGACCGCGAGAACCGAGGAGGCTTCTGGCGCGCATCGAGTCTTCCCGTCCGCTAGCTGTCACTGTGCTGCGGGAAGAGCGAGCCGAGCACACGGGCAAGCTCCATGTGGCTTTTGCACTCCAATGCCTCGTCACTGTCAGTGGAGCAGCCTCACGACTGCCGTTCCTTCCCTCAGTGCCCGCCGGCCTTCGGGGGGACCGCAGCCGGAACGGCGCGTCTGAGAACGTGTCCAGCTTTGTCTCATGGCACGGGGTTCCCACGTATTTCATCTTCATTAGTCAGCTCGTCAGTCGACAAGAAAAGCGCCTCTTTGAGAAATTCTGCTGACACCCGACCGTTCCGCGCACTCGGAACTACAAACTGGGCGGGAACACAATCTACATACGAGCTGTATCCCGGTAATGAAATTATGATTCTTAAATAGTGAAGTTTCTCTTATAAGAACGCTGCGATCCCGTTTTCGATCCTGCTGCAGAACACGCCACGCCGTTTTTCCACCATGTGGAGCTCAGAGCGGACGAGGAAAACACAAACAACAAAAAACACTCCGACAGTACACGTCGAAAGCCGTTGGCGTTCCATAATAAGACCCGAAGCACACTTCAAACAAGGTGCTTCAGATTCGTGGTCGGAATATTTTGACTCGAGAGCTATTCCCCTCGGAGCTCGGCCCGGCGGCGATGCTCTCAGAGCTCACGGGCGCGATAGTATTAGTGAGCATCTTATCTCGTTGAGGTTTACGCCGCCTCTCCAAAGAGCCGACGCGTTGCTTACGGCCCGTAGGCTATGGACCTGAATGTCGACTACGGTGCGTGACGCGAGGCCTACTAATGTCACATGATCGTCGACGGCCAAGGCCAGGAGCAAGCAGAGCTCCTCGAGGGAAATTCGCAGTTGAGGGAGGAAACTACGGCGAATCCATGAAGGTGAAGGCTATTTCGCTGTGAGATAACATTGGATATTTCCCCGTGCTGCCCTGATGCTTCGATAAGCTTGGGTGCTGCAATCGGAGACGCACGCCGGAATTGTTCGCTCGGCCTCCATGAGACACGGAGCTGGTGATGAACAGCTGATGATGGAACCGCCGCGCGGTACGCCGGTCACGTTAGCGTTCCTTCTGCAGTGACGACATTGGGGGACAAAGCAGCAGAGAGGACACTCGACGCTCAGGATGTGTCCGCCGAACACTCGTCCGGCGGAGGAAACACACACTCGGTGAGGATGAAGAGAAATAACACGCTTTCCCCCAGTACTGTTCCTACGATACTGTGCGGAGCGACTACTTCCCGAGATACTTCTCGCCGTCAATCACGTCCGCTTGTGACGACAGAGGTCTTCATCAACTCGATGAAAGGCTCAATATCGGAGCAACAAATTGATTATCGATGGGAAATTATGTCCCGTCAGTCGCCTGTTCGGCTACAAATATCCGTTGAATTGTGCCATCCGGCTTCACGAGTCGAGAGCAGAATTGCGCGGGAGAGGTTCGAAACGGGTCTGAGGGATTTCGTCGAGCCGGAAAATATGCTTGGTTCCTTCCGCCAGAGCGAACTGAGGGCAGGAACTCCGCGGGAGGGGGGGAATTGTCTTTCACTGTCGTTTGCTCCTCCGAGTGAGGGAGGATTGAAGATAGCCGGAAATAGAGTGAATGATTTCTGATTTCTAGCGATTTACCGTCGAAGCAGCAGCTCCTGGGGATGCTGCGAAAAACCGATGCGCTCGCTCAATTCTCTCATCTCCCCGAAGACAATGGGGCTGTCGAGCGACCGTCTTGTGAGCGACGAATACGCAGTCGCCGAGGCTGGATCAGAAAAGCTATTCGATCATTGAGCCTCGACGGGGAATTCCCGAGCGCGATTCCAAATTCTGCCGTTGCTCCGCTAGTGGTCGTCGATGTTTTCTTTCGCTAGAGAGTTAAAGTCGGCAAGCGCTGGCGCCGCCGCCGTTCGTATCGAACAGCTGTTCTCTACAGACCCCACCGCAGGCCGACCGCAAAGAAGATACACAAGAGATGTTGGAGGCAACAAGGTTTCTATAAAGCGAGAGATTGAGTCAGACAAAAGGAAAGGAAGCGAGAATCATGAATGAGGTTGTTCACCATGCCTACGCTCCTAGAGTTTCAGACTCAGAGCGTATTCTCAGCGTCGCGACGTCGCACTGCGCCTTTGTATCGCGCCAGACAAGTGCGGGTTCGATTGTGGAAACTCCAACAAATATATCTACATATTTCTAACCGCGCGGTGCCTGCCGATGATTCCATCAAATCTATTCAGGTTCTAATTCAGCCAAGCCGGGCTCTGAATCCATCGGGAAGGCTGGTCCATACATGATTTAAGAAAGTGAGCATCGTTAAGCCCTTCCAGAATAATCCAAAATATGCCAATGCCTCCGAGATTATTGCCTCGATGATTTTAAGTCTGATTCCCCAGCTGGAATCATCGCAATGCTATGATTCCGAGTTCCTCTCACGAAAACTCCAACGGAGAGCCCCGCTCGGGGGTTCCTTTCCGCGAGGGATTGACACCAGGTAGCGTCGCTGTGAATGAAACCCACGCTTTGCAAACGGAACGGGGAGAGGCGCTGACCGTCCCACGGTACGTTCTCTCTTGAAAGCCGGCTCCCTCAACTCAAGTCGACACCTGGGCTGCGTGATACTTCCGAGGAGCTGAGACCCCAAAAAGCTAGGAGTTCCCAGCTCGAGGAATCCCACGCGAGCTAGGGGAAGCACTGGAAGTTTTTCCAAATCGAATAAATACCTTGTGTGAGGATTGAGGTCCTCCGTTGCGGTACAGCCGTCGTCGTCGTCTCGCTTCTCACATCTCCAATTCGGAGGAGCTTTGGTTTTCTTCCGGGTCTGAGGGCGACCGGAGTCTTTGCTTTTTGATGCTCCACCATTCTTCCCAGATCCGGGCAGACCCTGGAGCAGAGAATCAGAACGGTCAAATACGGATCCGGTCTGTAATACGAGACTGGCTTTTTATGCTCACACTCGAATTTTTCCATATATTTTTAACTTGATCGAAAGCACTTCGCTGGACATCTAGGGGGTCATGTTTTTACGAGGGGTAATTTAGGAGAATGAGAGCAAGTCGGCCGGCCCAAACTGTGCAGCTGATGCGAGTCGGGTGAGATATGCTTGCGACTAGTTATCAAGATGTAGGAGAAAACTCCCATTAATCTTTCCATGCAGCCCGATGAGCTAGCTACGAGCTGAATCCCTCCATCACTCCCGGGATTTATTTTCCAGCGAGCGAAGCACCGACCGGACCACCCGTTTGATACCGTCATTTTTATTCGAAGCAACCCTACGCAGATTAATCTGCTTTATCAGCTGCTTACCATCGCAACAAACCGGATTGGATTTTATGCGTCCCATCTCGGGTTACAATGGGGAAAAAATCTCGGCCATCATGACACCGGTGAGTTCCCGACTCTCTCGAGGGCCAGTGTAGCGTCCATGAGCTCGTCGATATGTCTCTGAGGACCTCGTCTTCTCCGCTCGAACTCGTGGAACGAGTCCTCTGCGAATTGAATTCAGACAGGATGAGGGGAGAAGGGAGGAACGTAATTTGCTCGATGCGGCTTATTGCTCTCGAACAGGCTAGTCGTCGCGGAGAGACTCATCTGTGACGACGGTGTCACGGGGGCGAAGACTCCATTGATCATAGTCCGACTCGAGAAGGCCAGCCTGTTCTGGAAGGAACCAATGACAGTCCCGAGTCCCGAGCAACAAAGCAGCCAGATTTCCGGTCAGTGGTCAGCTGCGGAGGTGAAGGAGGGTGTCTCCGAAAGAATCGGGCACTGCTGTGACATGGCCCCTGCCGGAAACGATTACTTCGAGTCAAGCTTCAGCCAGGTCTCTTCCAGAGCTTGGCACAATTTTCTGTGCGACTCACTACAAATTCTGAGCGCTTCAGATTCTCTCCACGAACAGGCACCGGGTCGCGTCGGTCCAATTTTCCCTCTTTCTGCGAATTCGCAGTCAGCGTAAATGTCACGCGGAACAGACTGCGAACGGGTAGGCTCTCTGACTGGCTCATTGCGGGAGTCTAGACGTGCATACGAGCATGCGACTGATCCACCGGAGAAGGTGGGGGTGCATAACGGTGAACAGGTCCTCCAGGAACTCCATTGAATGACATCGCCGCAGCTCTTTCTCAAGAATGCAAAGAGCTCCCATAGCGGCATTTCGACAGCAGGGCAAGGCTGACCACATTTCCCGAGCTGGATGTTCCTATCGCTAGTGATCGATCTACTCCGCCATGGGCCAGTGACTGGACCAGCCGAAGAAGCGATTCTGTCCCTTGGAGGGCAGGGAATCTCAAATCTCATGATTGTAGGTGAAGTCTTCTCTCCAGCCTCCACCCTCATTCCGTACCCGAGCTCATGACCACGTGTACCGAGAAAGTCCGATGCGTTACGTGAGCAGTATAAGCGATTCGTTACGCATGCAGCAACGTGAGGTGCAACCTCGGGTCGGTGCTTATGGCGTCAGATACCGTGACGAGAGATCGCGGGGTGAAACTCTGCGAAAGTTCAACTCCGTTGAGATCCTGTCGGAGATTTTGGAGCAGACTTGGATCTGGGAGCGATCCCGAAGCTATGTATCATTGCGTGACGTCATCTCCCGAACTGGAGTCAAACGCAATCTACCGCCAGGGACATTACGATTCGGACCGTCGAATGACGCAAGACACCAAGGAAATTCCATTTGACACCAACACACATGGGAGCCTTGAATTCGATGATCGGTCCGATTCCTCACAGTGTTTTTTTCCAGCTCACATTCCCCGCGAAAAATCTACGCGAAGTCCGCTCGTGGAGCAAAAGTCTCCATCTCCTATCACCGAGTAATGGCGTATCGCGGGCTCGATTAGCGATGTCAGTACAGCGACTCCAAGTTTCTCTTACTTGAACATTCCCGACCGCAGTCCCCGCAATTATAGACGTGGCTCGGAAACGCGATTGTGAATTGGTCCGGGGAAGAGCGTCGGGAGGGAAAAAATTGTTTGGGCTCGCAGAGAGTCCGAATCCACCGCAGCGGCAGCTGCCCAATTTCGAATTCCTTTTGTTCGAGAGGAATTCACTTCGATGGAGGAAATGGCCGACGACTCAGTCTGACGGTAGGAGCAGTATGCGATCTTTTGCAAGTCCTATTCGTTCCGGAGCGCTTCTCCCGAACCTCCCTCCATCGCCTTTGCTAAAACTGTCCGCCTGTTTTCTCCGCAGTGACTTTCCAGCGTCTTTCTACGAAGCTACAAATTAGGCTTCGACATGTTCTGCCTAGCAGAGGAGAACTAGACGTTTTCACGTCACGTAGAAAACATCTCGAGGTCCGAAACTATTGGCTGCACCGAGAGCGTCCGACTCATGAGCAGACGGGCGGGTGCGCCGCTCGACCATTGGATTCCCGCTCGAGCAATTCGCCGGCCGGTCGACCAGCGATCTCCGACGAGCCCCGCTGAACACACAGGACCTCCTCTCTCACACCACCACCTGAGCAACAGAAGGAGTCCGAATCGCGAAACTGTGAGATACCGAACGACTTCCCTCCCGCTGCTCCGCGCGAACGGTTCGACCCGCAGAGCTATCTGACTCTGGGGCAACATGCGAAAAGATTTGTGGCCTCACACAAGCCGGAGGCGCCGGGACGTTCCGAGGAGCCTCCCGCTGTAGCTCGGCGAGGCAGAAATCCGAAAGCATTTCCGTCCAGCATTCGACGAGGAGCTCGTATTCCGTAGGCGACTGCTTCAACTCCTGCACAGATTGTGGCTTCCAAAAGAATTACAGAAGGCACTGCATCGAGTCAGATTTATGGTCGACGCCATGAGCTATCAGGAAATTCGAGATCATTCCTCTACGTATTGGGAGCTACCCCTCGCGGAGTCTAATTCCCATCGAGAACATCTTCGGGGTGTCGAGGCTCTCAGCCCGTTCCGATGTGTGAACGTCCCTCAACTCACCTGGAGCCGGTCGCTGTTGTGCTGTTTCGGTGTGTCCTGATCTCGAGTGGGGCCCTGGGTCGCCATGCTAATTTTGTCGTCCTTAGCAGACTTGCGATTCTTTTTTTTTCGCATTGGAGTTGGAGACGAAGCTGTCGCTGAGGAGCCCTCCGCACTTCCAGCAACTCCACTACCGAGCGAATTCAGGCCCATGCACGGTGCTAAAAGAATTGGAAACCTCAGGTTGTTTGTCCGGGCGAACGATCAGCTTGTGGAACTCACGACGGCTGTATGGGCAGGAAGCCTCATACCGCAAAACACGCTCATGCGACGATGCGCATCTAGATGGCACATTGTGCGTGTCCTAACAAACAATACTCCGGCGTATGTTCAAAACTTATCATCAGCTGATTGAAAATCTATTCATAGTCGGAATACCGCAAGACTAAGGACGCAGGAGCATATAATATTCCTTCATATTCCTTAATTATAGTCTGAGACCCTCGAGTCCTGTGGTGCGATCCATGGATTGAAGAGCAGCCCTCACTCGGGAAAATCGAACTCCACGAGCCTTCCATACGCGTGGGATCTTCTCGAACGAGACGAGCGACGCTTATCTGCGGGTCAGATTCTCTCGATAGTATTCGGCATCTTTTCCGGAGAGGAGCGCAATTGCCTGACACCGAATATCGGCCAAGAGTTTACTCGCAATATTCCGAGAGAAGAACATGGTTTGATCTCGAGCACGACGGAGATGTTCCGTTCGAATCCTGAATCACCCGATCAGGATCAATCGGAATTTCAGGATTTCCATTTGAAAGAATACAGAATCCATGCTATAGATTTCGTCCACGATTCCATCGCAGACGGTACCGTGATGCGGGAGACAAGTCGTTTGAGCTTCGAGAAGGAGTTCAGGTAGGAGAGATCGTCTCACTCACTTAATGCATTCGAGGCTGTTCTATTACCTTGAGGAGGCAACGGGGGCTGGAGCTCCCGCGGCAAATCTCCCGAGTTCGAACTCTGCTTGGACGCTGAGGCGTCTTTCACAAAACAAAAACTATGCGGGATGGACTGAACTTCGTCGATCTCACCGCAGTGGTCGGCGGATGCGACGAGCACGGATTTTCTCCGGCGGTTTGTTTTGGGTAACCCTCAATGCTGGAATTCCGGAGTTGAATTGCCTGCGCCCGGCAGGGACGGATCCAGAAATTCCCCGAGGGAGGGGAGGGGGGCGGCTAACGCATAGAGGGAGGGACGGAAAGATCTTTGGGTCCCGCTTCAATGTTGCAAGAATAGAAAGTCGGAAGCCTAGAGACACGTGCGATCGTACGACCCGATCACACCCCCCTTCTACTGGATTCACCACTGGCCCCCGGTTCCCCGTGAGCCGCCGGGAGCGACCTCAGGGGAAAAGTCCGTTTTATGGGTTCGGAGCCGTGCTTCTCCGGACAACCGATTGGATAATGAACTTCCAGGCTCGAACAAGTTCGGCTACCCTCTCTCTGCTGGAAGCCTCAGTCGAGATCTCTGCAGGAGCAGTCAGGCTCCGGAATCTCGATGATCGGTCCGAATTTCAGGGGGGGAAGCAATACCAGAGCGAGTAAATATGATGCATTTATTCAGGAGGAAGTCCCGCAAATTCCCTACAAAATGTATACAGATTCAGAACGGTCCTTTTATTTTTTCTAGTATCGGATTCACTTTCTCCGGTTTCTTGCCAGTTCTCATCAACTTCTGGACAGAAGGTCTGAGCATCGGAATCTGCAGCTCGTCTTCCAAGGTGCACTCTATATTTTTCTGTGGCAACATTCCCACCATGTGCGCTGCGGAAAGCAATCGTTCTTTTAGTACCTTGTCCTGAGCTCCGAGTCTCACAGAAATCAACGAAATGGGGAGGTCATCACATACTATCATGAATGTCAAAAGTATTTTCGGTAAACTCACTTTTCACGACGTCGGTGTCCCGATCGAGCTCGTCGAGGATATATGTTGACGTATTGGTTCGGCAGTCGAGTCGGTACAAAATGAAGGAGCCTACGGTATGTCCCTTGCCGTGCGCGCGCATTTTATACGCAATCTCCCTTTGGAGGCCCAAATTCTCGATCGCACGCAAAACGCTCCCACTACTAAGGATGAGTTCGCCTGTCCGTTTCATGCAAGCCACGAGCTCCGGCTGGAATGAAGAAGTTGTTTTCATCGCTCAGCACAAAAGCGGTCGATCACCCAAGTCATTTGGAACTCCGGCTTTCGTCGCGTGGGCAGCGCGAAACTTTCGAGTCCGATTGAGCTCCGGCCTAAATTCCTATTTCCTATATGGGGAGGATTGGCATCAATAAGGGAGGGAGCTGCACGAACCCGCTGCATGTTCCGCATCACCACGGTTAGTTCGTAGAGTGGCATCTTGATGTGAGTCCCCCGGGGGCTCCGTACTCAGCTGACTGAAAACCAGTCAGGGCGGGAATCCTTCGCACTCAGGATTTCCACCGGTGTGTGAAAAGAAGGGTCTCCGCGCAGAGAGGAACAACACGCTCCGAGTTTGTCTATGGCTGCAGACCTCGGCTCCGTGCGACCGCGAGCTCTTGGGATTATTTAAGAGAAGATTTTCACTCGTTGCGTCAATGGTACTTTGTCAGACTCTCACACGAATCCTTGGTTCCATGATACCGGAATACCGAGTCCTACACTGTATGAGCGGCCTACTGATTCGCCTGCGGATGGGGAGGAGGCTCTCCTCCCGGCCGATAGTCGAGCGTCGTCTGCTCATGCACAGACAGTGGTGGTGTTGGTGACCTTTCTATTCGGTACCATGGCATCTCTGAAAAACGCAGCCGTTTTGGTAATTATTCGAGATGAATTAAGCGGATAGTGTGAGGCATGATTTCTTTGATGTCGTCCGTCGTTCTATCCTATTCTTGATTGTCGTTGCGAATCGCCCTCCCGTCTTCGTACGTTTGAAGTTCTGTCGGCTTGTTCAACCTTCACGAAAGTCAGATTCTGACGATCGAATCCGATCCTCTAGAGCGCTAAAGTCTTAACAATTTTCTAGGCGAGATCGTTCAGCAGTAGCAGCCAAAATCTGCAGCTCGTCAAGGTGAGTTCCAGGCGTTCTCCGGCAATACTCGACGCCTGATGCTGCGGAGAAGCCACGATTCGATTCCATACCGTCAAAATTGTATTGTAGTATAGTAAACGCCAGCCTAGAGCTCCCCTCCGGGGTTCAACGTGCCCGACTGTCGGAGCGAACACTGATTCCAATGGTCTCCGAGAAAATACTGTTCAAGCAGCGCCGTTTCCCATTGCTGACGGAGAAACGAGGTCTCGTCTCATCTCGATCATTAGACACGGTCTGGCTTTTGGACCCTTGGCTCATCTCCGTTAATTAGAAACATCGATTTTAATTCCAGCCACGCATCGCCATTTTCGGCATCGAAGGTCGTTACGCCAATGCGCTGTACTCCGCAGCTTCCAAGCAGAAGAAACTCGATGCAGTGGAGAAAGATCTCCTCAAATTCCAAGCTGCCGTCAGATCGGACAAAAGCTTGGCCGACTTCATCTACAATCCTCTGGTCAACAAGGCTGTACGTATACGGTGCTTTTGCTGTTAAGCGCTCCGTTGAGGCAGTATCCGGGAAGCTTTTTGAGCCATCGTTTTCATTCACAGCTGAAACGAGATGCCATCGCGAACGGCTTGAAGAAACTCAACTACAACGATGTCTCGGTGAACTTGTTCGGAGCTCTCGCTGAGAACGGCCGAATGAAATACCTTGATCAAGTCATCGACGCCTACGGCAGACTAATGTCCGCGGAACGTGGAGAAGTCCTCTGTGAAGTCGTCACCGCGAAACCCCTCGACGCAGCTGCTGTGAAGGAGCTTGAGAGTGCCCTCGCCGGCTTCGCGAAGACAGGCGAGAAAATCATACTCACCAAGAAGGTCGATCCAGGCATCATGGGAGGCATGATCGTTTCTGTCGGAGACCGCTTCGTTGACATGTCCATCGCCTCGAAGATCAAGCAGTACACGAAGGTACTCAAGGATGTCGCTTAGTTTTAGAAATTATTTTGAGAAAGGAATTCGTCGAATGCAGCGTTCATCTTTGTCCTGTGTGGTAGCGAAGAAGCGGGAATAAACTTTTGAGACGGAAAAGTCGTGCAATACTTTTCCGGAGTCGTCCGCGTCGCAACGTGCCGAAGAACAGTCTTGACGGAAAATGGTTAATCAGCGAGTCACGCGGTTATTCTCACCGGATGCGAGCTCCCGGATCGCCCGGATGGAGCCGGAGTGCCTGGGAAGAAACGAGGATGCATAGAGGTGCCGAGACTGCACAGCCTGAGCGATATAGTTTGTCGTTCGCTTTCGGGAAGCTTGCGACGCACAAAGTTCCAGAGCTCCTTCATTTGACCTACTTGATCCTTATCTCCGTTGAGTCATGTCCATCTCATTTCCATGTCTGGGGGTCCCTCTTCTGGCTCGGCTCATGAGTTCTTCGGATCACGTCGGTCTGAGTGAGGGAGAGATTTCGAATTTTCGCGCCAGAGCCGATACCCGTAATGCTGTCTGTAAACAGGGAAAATGGCTGCTCGCATGAGGAGGAGGGGATCGAAGCGAAAAAAATCCAAGGGAGTCGTCTCTCGTCTCTTGCAACTTGTTGGAGAAAAAGTAATCCATACGTGCGATCATCTCCCCCGGGAAAATCGAGGCGAACGATGATATTTCCCGGACTGCCAATACTCATCTGAAAAAGAAAGAAGATGACGTAGAAAAAACACCTTCTCGGAGCAACGAAGAACCGGCAGTGAGTTTCGACGATTGCCGAGCACCTAAGTCAAAAATAAGTGGCGAGAGATATCTCAGTAATTTGGTTCCGATGCACTATGCCGACCTCCAGCGTTCCGGCACTACGGCACGAGTTCCACGTTGAAGATTTCGAGGGGAGCGACGACTTCTCTCGGGAATGAGTTTCTTATATGGAACCCGATCAGCAAGATGACATAAAAGAAGAGCCATCCGAGGAGCAGCGAAGGGCCGGCGGTAAGTGTCGATTGGTGCGAAGGACGCACTAGCAAGATGATGGCTTCGTCATACGAAGACAGTCATGAGTTCCCGTTTCCGGGACGGGTTTGGGAAACCCCGGAGGGTCTCGAATGTCCCGATATCTCTTTGCGGTATCTGCAAATGCTGTTTTTTCAGACATGGAGAGCGAAATTTACACCGGGGGCCCGCTGCCGGAACTTCCCAAATTCGAGCGAACGCAGAAAAAAACGTGGACTGAACTCCGTCAAGTAGTTCGGGACTTCCGCTGCCAACTCCATCACACCGAATGTAAAAATCCCTCAAATGTGGTTTTCGCAGTCAAAGAAGGAGGGGTTCGGATTTATTTCCTGGCTTCTGTGGCGACCGGTAGGGAAATGACGCTGCATTTCATCGATGTCACTGAGAATGGGTGAGAGACATCGAGTCTGTCGATGAGGCTATGATTTCGAGCTCAAAGCGCCGACCTGACGATTATGGCTTCCTGTCCTCATCTGATGGGTTATCTTATCTAATGGTCAGCATCGAATTGAATTTGCAGCGAGCTCTCAAACTGCCAAACCCTGCTAGAATCCAACTTCGTTTTCGTACAGCAGTATTCGAAATCGTCCAGAGCAGAACAACTCCAATGGGAACGAAAACGTCTCGTGATGTGGGGGATCACAAATTTCGACTATGTCGAGGATGGATACTTTGTATTCAGTTCCTCGGGCTCGGTGTTCAGATGCTCCGATCGGCTGCCTCTGGGCAGCGGGGAGCGCGGAGTTCTCCCGGAAGAGCTCCGGTCGCAGGCAGAAGCGATCCGATTAGATCCTCAAATGTGTCCGACGAATCCCGACATCATCGCATACGTGACCAACGGAGACATCTGGGTGAGCAGAGATCCTAGTCGGATAAGTCGAGCGTCGAGAGTTTACCTTATATCCAGAGCTCGGTGGAACAGAATTGCTTCAGCATCCGGGAGGTTCCGGTGTCATTCCAGCGACGCCGGAGCGATCCGGCATACCTGAGCCCGCAGTTTTCGGCAATTTAATGGAAGGGGTCATCGAAGGATTGACTCATCGAAGGGAACCATTCACAGACAGCTTACCTGTGCTTCCAGGTGTATAATTGCCAGAACCAGAACGAGATGAGACTGACAATGGTACACATGTTCGACGCTCCAGTGAGCGCCGGGGCACCTTGCTATGTGACTCAAGAAGAATTCAATCGATACTCTGGGTTCTGGTGGGCGCCTCAGACCACGTGTGAGGGTGAAACGACTGTATACTCAATTCTCTTTGAAGTCGTTGACGAATCTGAAGTGGAAGTCATCCAACTACCCGGTATAAATGGTAATTTTTCCTGCTCGTGACTCATCGGCATCGGACGTCGGAGGAGCTCCGACCCTGTCGAAGTCTAATCTATTCACTTGATTCTCTGCAGGGAACGCAGAACCGTACAGATTCCCGCGAGCTGGCACCCCGAACGCGAAATCTAGTTTGAGAATTGCGAGTTTTTCGATCAACTCAAAGGGCTATTTCGTGAAACACCGATACCAGTCGCTGACAAATCACTATATATGCGGCGCGGAGTATTTGCTGCGGGCCGGCTGGACGCCCGATGCTCGCCACGTCTGGGCGCAACTTCTGAATCGGCAGCAAGACACTTTACAGCTCATTTTAATGCACGTTTCGGAGCCCCCTTTAATCTGTGATATTCAAATGGAAACGGATTTCAACGACGACGAAATGATCACGAGCTCGGTTTTGTTACTCGAAGAGAGGACTCATATTTGGATCAACGTGCACGACGTTCTACACTTTTTGGACAGCGAGTCGGATAAAGTAATGGACTTCATCTGGGCCAACGAATCGGCCGGCTTCCGCCATCTCTATCTCTATCAGATTAACAAGTGCACAGGAGAATGCACCAAGTGCGTTCCGTTGACGAGTGGGAATTGGGAAGTGAGCGACAAAGATGTTTGGGTCGACACTGATAGAAGACTAGTCTATTTTCTCGGTACGAAGGACTCCCCTCTAGAAAAACATCTGTGAGTATGAGAGCTCCGAAAAGAATTCTTCCTTGTGGAAGAGCTTTTCTTACCCCCTGCATGACTACGCTTCCGAGAGTGAATTTCTCATTCTATTGCTGAGCATCCCGATGCGAGGATGTTTTGTCCCCGCTTGAATGAACGTAATTCTCGCCTTGAGTTATGGTATGCTCCACAGATACGTGGTCAGCATCGATTCGCCTGGTGAGGTTCGCTGTTTGACAGCACCTGGGGCATCGTACCAGGTATTCATGTGTCTCCGCAGCGGCTACGTGGTCGCTATTGAGAGCAGTTTGGCTCAGCCAGCGTTTGCGAGACTCTATCGAATTTCCCACGCGGCTAGCCAAAACGGCTCTCGCGAATGCTCCACCGGTGACTTCACGATCGGTCAGAATCTGCTGCCAAGCTGTCAGCAGATAGGTAAGAGACTTTCCTTCGCTTGAAGTATTGTGGCTGACAGGTGCGGTTCTAGTGCAGAGGTTCAGCTTTTTCATTCCTGAAGGGAACCTCATGGAACAGGCGAATCCGGGGGAGCGACATCAAATTCCGGAGCTATTCAGTCATCAGCTCAGTTCCGGCGACACGGTTTACGGGGTAATTTTCAAACCACGGAGTCTCGACGAATCCAACCCTCACAAGTTCCCCACGGTTCTAAACATCTACGGGGGACCAGAGGTGCAAATGGTGACAAACAGCTTCAAGGTACGTCGACAAGGATTACTTGCGAGGCGATGGAACCTCGACGATGTGAGCATAATGTCTTCTGGGCGATCGGGAACCGGCCGGGGAAGGGTCTCCCCATTATTCTCGAATTACGTCGATTTCAGGGATTGCGGCATCTCCGTCAACACTTGCTGTCGTCTGAGGATTTCTGCGTGATACAAATGGACTGCCGAGGATCCAGAAATCGTGGGGTCGTTTTCGAAAGCCACATAAAACATCGAATGGGTCAAGTAGAGATCCAGGACCAGGTACTGACTGAGAATTGTTCGGATTCTCTCGGAACGAGCCGACAGTGGAATGAGAAGTCGGGGGATTTTGAGATCGTACTCCTCGCCTGCAGGTTGAAGTCCTCCAGTGGTTAGCCGAAGACCGAGGGTACATCGACATGAGCCGTGTAGCCATTCACGGCTGGAGTTACGGCGGCTATCTGAGTCTAATGGGTCTCGCTCAGCGACCGGACATTTTCAAATTGGCCGTGGCAGGTGGGTTCGATCGGGCCTTCGCTCGGGAAGGAGACTCCGATCTCGCTAGAATTCGCCTGGATATGGACATCGATTGCGTATGATATTTGACCTGTTTCGCCGTGTCTAGGTGCTCCTGTCACCCAATGGAACCTGTACGACACTGGATACACGGAACGTTACATGGGACTCCCCGAAAGTAACAGAGAAGGCTATCATCGAGGCAGTGTCCTCAGCTACGTAGGTCAATTCCCGGACGAAGAAGGTCGCTTGCTCATCATCCATGGCTTGATGGACGAGAACGTTCATTTCCCGCACACAACGTCTCTTATACAGGCGCTCGTCAATTCTGGAAAACCGTATCGACTCCAGGTACTTCTTCCGTGCCTGTCTCCCTCCATCCCACAGCATCAACTTCAATATCGCAATTCCATGTGAGGGAGCTATTCTGAGATCAATGAAAATACGTTCCGCCCCTTTTTCAGGTCTACCCACAAGAGAGGCACTCGTTGAGGCATTTGCCAACTTCGGAACATTACGATACGTCGTTGCTCTCATTCCTTCAGAATAATTTGTGATATGGGGCTTACTAATCGCTGTGAGGGGCTAATCGATGAGCGAATAATAGAGAAGGCGTGATTCTTATCTTTCGCAAATGTGAATGGAGTGGATGCTTCTGGAATAAATTGCCAGATGTTTTTTCCGAACCTGAATTCTTGCTTGTTTTTATTCCCTCTGTAATTCCGTTCCCGAATGATACCCCCGATTATGTGGTCTCGAGGAACAAGGAGCTCTCAATTCCGGTGGCGGATGTAAAGCGACAGAGTAATTCGAATATACAGAGTCGGAGCTCGATCTCAGCGCGGCATGCATACGAATCCTCTTCGAACTCGGCCTCTTCAGTTTACGGGCCTATTCAGGTACCGCAGCAGGAGCTCGGGTCGCTGTCGTACGTGGGCGTCATGTCAGGGATGCAGGACCAGCGTGGAATAGAACCATCTAGCTTCGTTCATCTGCGCTAGTGGAAGTTTCTTGCTCATATCCCAGATCCGAGAGTGTCGCCGTTGGCGAGCGCTCGGATCCGTGTCACGGCGACACTGACGCTTTCCGCGATATAAGACCTTGTTCCTTGGTTCGATAAATCCGTATCCTATGGAGTATGCCTCGCATTTGGAGTCCTCTCGGTACAGTCGATCCCACTGCGGGAGTCATCGATTCAGACAAAACCTTCGTTCCCTCGCCAGAATTGATCCGTGATCGTGACCCTCCAGCGAGCCAACGTTCCAGCAGCGGCTCCATGACAGGAGGACTCGAGTTCACGAGTTTCTCATTGTCAGAATCTAGCTATCAGGGGCCATCTGAAGCGATTCTCAAGAGGGAAACCCAGACTGGAAACTTTGGGCGTGCCCGCCGGAATAATCCCGTAATCCTGTCCATTTGATAGCTGTGTTCCTACCACTGGAACTCCATACCGAGTATAAAAGATAGGCGCTGGCGCGCTTAAACATCACTCGAACATGAAAAGCCTTGCTGTGTTTTCGCTGCTCTGGCTCATTGCCTCAGTGTCCAGTGGCTCTCAGCTGCTCGACCGGTAAGCCACGCCGACTCACGGTACCTGGACCCGTTGTAGATTATGAGCGGTCTCCTTTATGCCACACGGAAGATCGCCACAATGGCATTGAGTTGAAGCGATTTGCCCTCGGCAGCGATCAGAAAGAGCGTTGAGCGGTGCCGATAGATAGACGGCCGACGAGAAAATGTGTCGTTGGCTCCCTCGCCTTAGGTCGGCAGCTATCAGGGACGAATGTGCTCCACGACGCTGTTCCCAGGGTAGGGCTGCAGAGCGATTCGTTCGCTCGAGAAAATCAACTCATACCGACTGAATATACCGATTGTCCCACAACCCAGCGATCATGAGCGCTGCAAAAGCCGAGCTCGGAACAGATTCTTGTCCGTTGGAGTGATCGACGGGTAAACCCTTGTTATGAAGGGTGGGCAGCTCGCAATCGCCGCACATTCAGTCGCCTTAAATCGAGAATATTCTTGGGAAATCGGAATCCTCCCCAGGGAACTCGACGCGGAATGGGAATCTTTCAAGGAGTTCCATAACAAGAATTACCTGAGTGCGGCGGAGGACTCTCGGAGGAGGCTCCTCTGGCAGCTGAACCGGCAGCAGATCGAGGAGCACAACGCTCAAGCTGAACTCGGTTTGCAGTCCCACCGGCTGGCAATCAACTCCTTCGCTGACATGGTAAGATAGGCATGGGGTCTGAACTGAACTGACTGATTCGAGCGAGAGCCATCCAGAGGCTCGTTCCAAGCTTACAGTTCTCCATGGAACATGTTGAAACTTCCAGACTCCAGACGAGATACTTCCGAACGCCAATCGACCCGTGCGCGAGTCTCCCCGAACAACTTTCGGGAACTCGTTCGCTTCGGTGACAGGTCTTCCCAAAGCTGTGGATTGGACCAAGGAAGGGTTTGTCACTCCCACGACGGATCAGGACATCGTGGCGTCCGCGATCCCATTCGCCGTGACCGGGACCATCGAAGGCGTGCTGGGTATCCGAAACCGCAGATTCGTCCCTTTGTCCGCCCATCAGATTGAAGACTGCTACCACGGTGAGTTCACCTACGACATCCTCACACCTAGCGACTGTCGAACTCACGAACGAACTAATGAGCTACGGGAACCACTTCGATGATGGTGACTTTTCGCCACAGGTGAGAGCGTCCAGGGAGCTTACGAGTCAATTATGCAACTCGGCGGCATAATGAGCAAAGCAGCCTATGGAGACTCGATGGAGAACCGGACCTGCCACTTCGATCCGAAGAAAACGGAGTGCAGTCTGATTACGTACGCGACAGTTAATAAAGCTGAGAAAGCTCTCCAGGCTGCGGTAGCGAACGTAGGACCGATCGCAGTTGAGGTCGACGCCTCCAAATTTCTTTTCTATGAGAAAGGAATCTTCAGCGACCCTAAATGTGGAGAGAAGGCCCCGAACCATGCCCTCCTGGTCACAGGCTACGGTTCCGAGAACGGGGTCGACTATTGGATGCTCAAGAATACATGGGGCGGTTCTTGGGGTGAAGGGGGCTACATACGGATCGAACGGAATCGCAACACCTGCAGGATCGCCAACAATGCAACGTACCCTGTTCTTGCGTGATTTCCCTCCAGATGGTTTCTCGGATACTCAGACGCACCGGGGACCGAGTTCAAGGGCCATATCACGCCAGGCGTGGAGAACATACCTTCGGCGGAAGTTCCGGTTGAGATGCCGCCCGGGAAGGAAGAATCACCTTCTATCGGATTTTAGGTAGACCGAAGAAAAGAATGGGCGGTGAATACGATATGAACCCCCCCAAAGAATACGATGACTTTTCCATAGGAGCACCTTTTCGATCTTACCGAACGCCACAAGAAGCTGCGATAGCCGTCGAGAATCATCAATATTATACCTATGTATTGATCTTCGCGACCTCCTCTCAAAGATCCGCCCTTCTGAATTAGGGGTGTAGGGTCTCTGTCATTTGTAGAGGGTCGTTGCAAAAGTTTTTTCCTCTCCGAATTCCGAAAGGGCCGCCTCGCGCCTTTGGACGGCGTCGGTTCCTCGTATCTTCGTCGTGGAGCCGATCGGATATTTTTCAACAAAAAACAGAGGTAATCGAGGAGGATCCGGAGATGTCGATTTCTGAAAAGGGACGGGACAAAACCTTGAAACGACCCAAGACATTATTATCGTTCGGGACTTGCGGACCACAGTGTCGTGCGGAAAAGTAGACGATCGGTGAGAGGAGGGGTTCGTAGAGATTTTCCGGTCGTGGACCTTGTTCCCTACGATTGCTGCTCAGGCGACTTCACTGCGCACACTGAATCGTTCCTCTCCCGTGGAACAATCCTCGCAATGGAAGTAAAACTTATGGTGGCTCTGATTTCTTTCTCCCGGAAAAAAACTCATAAGGGGCATCATTTCTTTATCTGGTTGGGCTAATCGGAGCTCTGAGTGCTTGGCGTCATTGGTAATCTTGGAAACTTGGGCGACATGATCGATCTCTGTGATTAGGGCGCGGAAGAGATAAGACTAGCACGACCCGAGGGTTTTCGGAGGGGCGTGCAGCTGTCGTCCACACCGCGCTCATCCGTCCTGGAGAGATTCCGCTCGCGGGGCGTGCGGTGCTGAACGCACAGCTTGAGTGTCATTAGGAGCTCTTCGATTGGGCTCGATCGCGTCGTGAGGGGCGCATGATGGAATGAGCGTAGGTACCTATCAGCGCTGCGCGCGGATTCTTAGAAATGCCCATGGGCTCAATGCGCTCATCTCTATTGATCCCCGACTCGTGAGACCTGCTAAGCCTCTTTTTGATGAGACCTTGATCTCGAAGCTGCGCTGAGGACCAAACTTCCAGGTCGTGTCAAGTCCTGCCTCTAATCAGGACTGGTCTCACCCGAAGGGGAACTCGATGTAACGTCTCCGCAAATAGGGTCGCTTTGCTCGGACGTGTCCGGCCAAGCGTCTGTCCCAACAATTGGGTCAGCTCCTCTTATTCGACAGTGAGAAAGAACTCTTTTCAAGTTTGCTGGCTGGCAACCAGAACTTTTCCGAGTCCTGCTCGAGAGGAGGATCAGACCTCCATGCGTCATCCTGGTGAGTGCGCGTGTCCCTAATATGTGTCGAGGTCGAGACCTTCCTTGATATTGTGTATAATGCGATCAAGGGACCGGGAGCATCGGGCGAGCTCACTGTGCTGATTGCAAAGGACCTCGATTTTCAAGACACTCTCAGCGAAACACAGCGAGATCGCGTATCGCGTCTCTTGCGACGCCGACGGTCCCTTCGAGCTCCCAAACTTCCGCAACTCCCATGTTTCGGGAGATATACATATATATATACCCGTTCGGCGTGAAACACCTGGATAAGTCAAACTCGGAACCTGCGGATTGCGCCGACAGCATGTCGGAACTTCCCTCATAGAAGCATTGATACAACTGCTAGTGGCTTTCCTGAGGAACCTGAAGGGGATCTCAAATGGAGGTTCTCGTGGAACCTTCACCGGAACTTGGAGTAGGAACTCTCACGGGACTCATCGGACCACAGGGCTCATCGGAACTTCCCCTCGAGGGAAAAGCATCTCCAGGTCAAATCAGGCAGCACATTCTGCTGCAAAAGATGCGTAATGAGTAATCACCGATCTGCCTTCGAAGCATCCCGTTTCGAACATCTAACAATCTAACCGGATCTCCGGCACTGAATGCGACAGATCCCATCTCGAGAGGACACCAATTAACCTGGAAGCCTGGATAACGAACTCTCACCGAACGGGAGAATTCCATTCAAGGATCCGTCCCTCGATTCGGAACTAAGTCTGACTGACAGCCGGTCTTGGCGGGTTGATTCAGGGAACTAAACCGTATTATCATCTAGCTCGCATGACATCTACGGTACCCTGACGTGGCATGTTCATGTATACACCAGCCGGCCGTGTTCACATTTTCCATGGCATCCTGAAGACATTCCTCGAGATATATCGGACTCCTTGTCGAGCTGCCTCAAGACGAGCCGCGGTACGCG